AAAAAAAAAAAAAAAAGAGAACAACAAAAGCCATAAATAGAGGATGGAAGAAAAACTTGCAGCGAAGCTCCCCTCTCAAGCCCCAGGGGAGGAGTAGGCAGTAGGTTACCGGAAGGAGCAGAGATTAAGCCTACCTTTACCACGCTCAAAATTAAGAAGCGTCCTAGTGTCAGTGCTGCTGAACAGCAAGGAGGCTTTCAAAACGCCGCTTTGCTAGGTAAAAATTACTCCGGGCACCTCTCCCGCAATTCCTCCCCCTCCACGCACCCTGAAACCTGCCGAGGAGCACGAAATCTGCCTGGTCCTGCCGGGCACCTCCACGGAGCAGGCCTGCAGGTTTTCCTGTAATTCCGGGATTCCCTGTTGTAAGCTCTTAAACAGAATATTGAAAACATTTTCCTTATGGTGCCTGTTCTTGCCTTGTAGCGCTGGTAGTAAACAAATAAGAAAAGTGTGTTAAAGGGAGGCTACGGTTACAGCATCTTGGCCTAATATTCCCACATATAATTAAAACCATAGCCACAATAATGCATAAATAAATAACAGCAAACAGAAGGGACCGTTCCTGTTTCTGTCGAAAACAACTGTTTTGGATCTGTCACTGTATTATTTTATTGGAGAAGTCTATGCTGTTCCCTCCTAATTTTATTTTAATTTATTCTAGTGGGAGAGACAGCAGGGAAAGAAATGATGCATTTGAGTTTTTTCTTTTAAGTCCATGTTTAGTTTTAATTTTCCTGTATTTTAAAATAAACACGTTGGCTGCAGAATGTTTGATCTTTGCAAGAAGGAAGCCTATATTGTAAAGGAATGTGCAGCAGTTTGGTATGAAAATGGGGTTGTGACTCACAGCTGCAGGCAGAAAAAAAAGGTGTTGTGGTGTCAGCCAGAGGTGTTCAGTCTAATAACTCAAGCTGTAAACTGTATCCTCTAAAATTACTTACATAGTAAATCACTCTGGAGTTAAAAAATAGACTGGAAAGTGTAAGGGAGGGGGAAAAATCTTTTAGAAGTTCCCTTCATGAAAATTATTTGTAATGATGGGAATTAAGAGTTTAATATCTCCCTCATTTTCTTAAATGTGAGGCTGATATAGTTAACTGCCACTATATAGCCGATGGTGCTTACTCGGTCGTTCTCGAAGCAGCAGAAACTTGAAACGCGTGACTGGGGATAGTTGTTTCACTGACTGCTTTACACGGTTTACAGCTAATATTGACCATCTCGAAGAGAAAAAAAAATTAAAGAGACGGTCAGGGCACTGAAAGGTCTTAACAACTTTGTATCGCAGCGAAAACCCTCGGAAAAGAGCCTACTCCCTCTGCACAGCCGAGGGGAAAGCGCTTCTGACATGCCTCTCTCCCCGAGACACGGCGTGTTTCCATCTCTTTGCCTCCCTTAGTTGTATTAGTCTGGTAACAGTTGGGAAACTGGGGAGGCTTTGAAAGGAGAGCTCTCTTCTAGCGTAAGTGCTGGGTTTGCAGCACTCCAGTCAGGGAGAGCAGGGGAAAAAAAAAAAAAAAAAAAAAAAGAAAGAAAAACAAAAGAAAAAAAAAAAAAGAAAAAAAAAAACTCAACTCCAGTGTCATCTGCAGCGTTTTGCTGCAAAGGAATGGAGCGACTAATGTAGCACAAGTCCGAAAGGAGCATCCCAAGTCAAGATGTTGCCTTTCTGAGGTGCTTTTTCCGTTTCCAGGAGCAGTTTTCTTCGCTGGAAAGGAGATGTTGGCCGTGTCATTCGGGTGGTTGCACCTCGGCTAATAGGGAAAATAACTTGCTGGGAAGATTTCCATCAAGAGACACATTGAGAGATGGACAAAAAAAATAAGCAAAATAAGAAAAAATAAGACAAAAGGAAAAAAAAAAAAACTGGGAGAAATGCCCTACGGACGTCAGCAAATGTTTATGGTGGAAATAAGAAGTCAACAACAATTAAAATCTGGAAGCCACGTTCATTAGTATTCAGCACATACGATCTATCTTTTATGTTTATCTTTCTCCGCGGATCAATATTGTAGCAGCATGTGCCGGGAACAAGCAGAAATCTGGCCACTGCATGTGGCTGACCTTTCCCTCTCTCCCTACAGGTCAGATCGTCTTCATCAAAACAGGTCAGATCGTCTTCATAACTATCATCACCTTATGCGGCCACAGCCACGGCTCTCATTAAAACCAGTATTTAATCTAGGCGCTGTGGCTAAGAATCAAAGGAGAAGGGATGTTTGCCCACACAGAGGAATTAGCAGTCTAGGAAGAAGAAGGAGAAAAAAAAATTTTTGGAGTGAAAATTGCTCTCTTTTTTTTCTTTTTTCTTTTT